TTTTTCAAATAAATGATCGATACATTCTTATATTTATATTTGTCTCTTTTTCGTTTTCTTTTTAAATACAAATATAATAAAGTCATGTAATTAAGATTACTAGATTAATTTTTTTCTTTTTTTCCATAGATAAACACATGAAAGCCTAATAAAAGAATAGATTCAATCATCAAAATAGGCCTTACACATGGGAGAGTAAATGCCAAATTGAAATTTAAATATTCATTAAGGTCTCGTTTGTCAATTATACATTTTAGCTAAAAAATCAAAAAGTCACTATAAATTGTCACATCACTCTCTTTATTTTTCTGCACATATTTTCATAAAAAAGCAAAAATTATTAAAATAACATATTTTCAAATGAGACCTAACATTATGTAGCCAGTAGATATGGCACCGTTTGGGAAGATGGTTTGGGAGTTTTTTTGGCTATTTTAGCCACAAAAGACAAAATAAGTTATTTTAGTCGCGACAAACAAAATATCACATCCAACGCATAATCATTACACTCTTTTCTCACAAAAAAAAATCAAAAAAAATAAAAAACCCTTCACAAATCAAGCTTTCTAGCCCAGACTAAAAAAACCAAAAAGTCAAAAAATCAACTCACTTCCCAACGAAGCCATGATACGATTACTTATAGAATTTTGGGGCACTGCTGTGCCCCAGTTTTCTTTAAAATGAAATGGTTTCATTTTATATTTTTTTATTTTTGGTTACCCTCCTGTGCATCCTTCTTCCAATAAGATCTCTACACCTTTATCACTTGCAGCCACCATCAACCACAATATTGTCCGCTGCCCCCATCAAAGAGAGGGATTTTATTGAACAAATTAAACCCAATAAAATCCAAATTAATGTGTCAGGAGAGGGATTTTATTGAACAAATTAAACCCAATAACAGCTTGAGTGATCATAGTTTTGTTCTTTGAGGAGTATTTTTTTTTATTTTTAATTTATGTTGTTTGAGGAGTTGAAATGTTATAATCCTTGGTTAAGGAAGAAGATACCCTTCAAAAGTAATCTCACACCTGAAATGAATGAGAAGAACTTGTTGATTTGTACTCTAATAATTTTTATTGCAGATTACAACTCTACTTTTCTTGTCATATTTGGACTCTTTTCATATGAATGTCTGTGTCACCCAAAATAGGGTAAAGCAGAGCATTACACCAACACTAATTGCAAACTAACTAAAATTTGTCCTTCAATGTAGACTTGAGAAATAGAACTTGAAGAAAGGAATAAAAGCCAAAATGTTTTGAATGTAGTTAAAATAAATCAGTTTAAGTTGAGATGAAATCAACCACTATTGCCTGTAAAATATAGATTTTCTAATCAAATTTAGAATATTACATAGTATTTGATTTCATTTCTAGATTAGATTAATTTTAAAGAATTTTCATTTCAAAACTCGTAGAAGACAGACCCCTGTATTGAATTTTATTTTGTGTCTCTTTATTTTTAGTTTCATTTTTGTTGGGTTTTATTTTGTGTGTGTAAATGGGGACTGGTGATGTTTTAGAGATTTTATCTAATTTATTTATTATCAAATGAAAGAATCAATTTTGAGCTTGTGTTAATGGCGATGGGTGGTGTTTGTGTTGATAATCAAGTGTTGGATGGTAGAGAAAAAAGTCCAGGCATTCAAGCAATAATTTCTGCATACGTGTAAGATGTAGATTATATCCTTAAAAAAAACTTCTTTACAAAAATACAAAAAATAAAAATAAAAAAAATATGAAAACTAGAAAATAGGTACATGATAGTTTGTTATTGAATAATAATATCATGTATTAGCGATAAGGCGATATCATTATTGCATTGTATTTTTTTCCCTGCAATGGGCCCATATGGTTGGATTAGACCCATCTAATCTAAATAAAGACTAGAAAATAGTTTCTATATCAATTGGTTGAATGAATTAAAACAAATTTATTTTTGTAGAGATGTAAATGAGGGGGTGTTATATCATACAACTTTCACTTGCATTAGACATTGGATCACTTATACGTCTATCAAAATTGTAATTATTTTGAGTTTCAATTTAGATATAATTATCAGTAATGTTAGAAATATAAAAACTAAATACAAAGTAGGACACAATTCTCTCACAAAGGATGAGTCCCACATATGGGTCCCATACATGCGAGCTCCGCCCCTTATAAGAAAATTGTGTCTCATTCTGTATTTAATTTCTGTATGCATAGATTTACTCCGTAATTATTATCCAATCAATTATAAGTGTATGTGATGCAGATTTTGATCATAGATACCAAGTGTGGACCTCATTAAACATCCAAAAACTCTTCTTGAAGAAATGAGCAAGTGGCTCTCAACACTCTCAGTGGACCAAAACAAAAAGGGTTCGTGTCCCTTTCTTGAAAATGGTAAATCTTGAAGGTACCTACGCCTTAAAAAATAATGTATTGTTCCAATTAGTGCCACTATGCCCCTCATCCATCACATTTCACTAAAAGCATGTTGGAGAGTACCAATTCAACGCGTTGATATGTTATTTTTGGAGTGAGAATAATTTCTCTTTACTTTGAGTTTAAATCAGAGAGAATAGTCTGGACAACAGATTTGTGCCACATCTGTACTTTTGTAAATTAAAAGTTTAGATATCTATCCATTAAATAGTGAGTCAAATTTTTTAAGTCGATCTAGTATTGAGTTTGTAAATAGGTGGATAAAATTTAAACTATCAGTACGTTTGGTTTGAGTTTTTTTAATAAAGTTTTTTGAAAATTCAGTTTTTTGATTTTCGTATTTTTTTTGTTTTTAGTGAATATTTTTAAAATTTTAAACATTTTTTTTATTTTTTTAGATGCATCTTACTTAAATGTATCTAAAAAGTAAAAAATTTGTGAAAAAATATTTTAAAATTTTAATAAATACATAAAAATACAAAAAATGTACTAAATTTTTGTATTTTTTTATATTTTTGGTATTTAGTGAATTTTTAAAAGGATTTTTTCACAAATTTTTTACTTTTTAGATATATTTATGTTAGGTATGTATAAAAAGTAAAAGAAATTGCTTAAAATATTAAAAAAATTTAGTAAAAACAAAAAAAAATACAAAAAACAAGAAAATAAAATTTTCTAAAAAATATTTTTGAAAAAACACAACCAAACAAGTTTTAAAAAAAAATGCCGACATGACAAATATTGACTATTTGAATTGGACATTTAATTCAAACTAGACAGGAGGTCACTCGAATGAATAAAACCGACTTGAGTTGTCAATTGAGTGGGAAATAACTACCCTAATATAAGACAATTATTTCAGAATGAGTAAAAATAACTTGACCAATCATTGTAGATTAAGTGAGAAATATCAATCTTATCTATCTTTTTATGTGATTTCATTGGTGGAAAGCATTATAGACACAATTTTCATTATCCTGGGGAAGAGTGGACCCTAAAATAATCTTGTCCATAATAACCTTTATTCTCCCTTGTTCACTTCTCTCCCTTGAATTCTACAAAATGTGGGTACTTGGATTGGGCTTCTCGTGCTCATTCTTGTGGCTCGTGATCCATGATTTTATTTTATTTTGTATTTTATATATAATTTTTTTTAAGTTGAATCTTCAGCTAATGAGTTTTTTTGAATTTCCTTATTTGCCCATTGCTGTCATGTCGAAGTGTTGCAATCTTGTATATATCAAATTTATTATAAAGCCATTGGTACTAAGGATGATCTTCAACTTTGTTTTGTTGCTATTTAAATCAAGTTTGGCATATGAGAAATAATCTATCTTTTTATCTTTTTACCATCACATTACCTCTCTACCTTTTTACACATCTTTTTGTAAAAAGACAAAAAGTACACTTATTTAAGTCATCCCAAACAACCCTTTAGTTTAAGCTTGTTACTCATTTCTACAAACATTTCTTTTAAATTTGAAAAATCTTTATTATTTCGTGATTAAAGAACTAATTGCCATTTTAAAACGATCTAATCAATGCTCCTCTATGCCTAATTCTAATACCAACCTTCTCGTTCAATTTGAGGAGAACGAAACCTCCAAAATTTCAAAGTATTCAACTTTCTTTCCTATTGATTCATAACTTATTTAAATACAAAAATAATAAGTAATAAAAATAAAGATATATATGATCTACTTACCATAATACCTCTCTACTAATGTTAACTACGAAATAATTCTAATAAAATAAATCCAAAATATTTAAAATATTTTATGATTATAAATTTATAACAACCCCACAAATATAAATAATTTAAAAAGCAGTTAAAAAAAGAAGCTATATAAAGTTGGCTAATAGTCTAAATGTTTACTAATACCCTAAAAAAAAGATAATAATAAATAAATAAATAACCCTAAATTCTATTAAGATATTTTAGTATTATCTTTCTTTCTACCCATTGACATTTGTTGCTGGTGTTATTGAGTTTAATTTTGTTTACTCATGTTATCTTATCAGTGATTTTATTAGAATCTATTATTTTCAACTGCGCTTAAAATAATGAAATCTTAGTGAAGTAATTAATCAGATAAAAATAAAATTTTATTCATATAAAAAATTTATAAAAACAAAATATATCAGAATAATGTAATTTTTGTAAATAATTTTTTTTAAAAGTGTTTTACTTTAAAGTGAAATGTTGAGATTGAACCACATTATACCATAAAAATATTATGGTCCAATTATAAAAAAATAAATAAAATAAACATTAAGATTTGAAGCTTGTAACAAAATAAAGTTTAAATTTTTTATTTAGTCAATATAAACTCCAATCTTTTAATTTATTTTTAGTTTAAATCGTTTTCCTATTTTCACAAAGTAAAATTAATGGGAAAAAAAATATTTTATTCATTAACAAAATATTAGAGTTTAAATTGACAATATAAAAATTAAAAATTTATTTTATTATAAGAGTCAAACACTAAGTTTTTTTATGTAATTATCTCAAAATTTATATATAAATTATCTATTTGGGTATCATAATCGCTTGTAAACAAAATTATATATTTGGACACGTCAGCTCAAAATTTCACCAGATCGTACTGAAATTACCATTTTAGCACTGACAGAGAAGCTACAGCTCACAGGGTTTCGAACAAACAGAGACCTCAATCAGAACTCGGCTGGGCTCAGTCATTACCGAGTTGACTCATTCAGTCCGAGTTCACTCGGTCAAATCATTGCCCTCTGGGGAAAAAAAACAAAAAAAAATTAGCAATAATACCAACTTCAAAAATTCCCCAAAAAAATATTTCACTTTCATTCAGCTAACAATGATTTTTAATTTAACCATCGAACCCGGTTTGACTCCACACTGCATCCCTAACTCGGCTCAAATCTCGGCCTTTCAAAGTCCGACCGACACCTACAAAAACCGAGTTCGCCGCCGTGGCACGGTGCTCACGCGCCAAGTACTCGTGCGGTGGAACCATCTCGAATTCATGATCATCGTCCGAGTCATGCATCGACTCAACCGAGTCAACTCGGTAAATCTTCGACCAATCAGGGACGTTCACGGGTGCCGACGTAGCCATCTGTGGCTGTCCACATGGACTCGCCATGCTGTCCTGGCCACGAAACTGGTGCACGATCCGAGGCGACGCCGCCTTGCTCGGATCCTCAAAAGCCAACGACAAGCCGCCCACTTGGCGGTGCTCCTCTTGCACCGCCACACGCAGGTGGCTAGTGATGGTGGCACGTGGTGGACCATTCATCGAGCGATTATCATTGTCACCGCCACCATCACTGCCGTTGACCACCTTGTCATCGACCATGGACCATACGTCGTCTTCGGCAAGCTCCGTGGTGTCGGCCACCACCGTGCCTTGGTCGTGACTGTAGTTGCTGTAGCTTCCGAGCAAACGCTCGCTCCGGCTGGTCGTCAATCTCCGACCCTTCGCCATATATCATCACCGCCACTGCGACCACCACGGCCGGTCACCAGAGTCTTGATTTTCCGGCGACCCACCTGAGTTTTTTTTATGTATCTAAATTATATGAATATATAAATTGTATTTCTATATGTATATCTATAGCTCTTTCATTTTAGAGATGAAAGTTTTAAGCTGGCGTGGGGTTGGAGCCTTGGAGATTGTATATATAACATTTTGATTTGGCCGAAGGACGGTGAAGATAGTGGGACCCACTTTGGTTTAATCATTTGAATTTGAATTTAAATTTGAATTTGGAGTTCATTTTGTCTAAATTTCATTGATGTTGCTTTCCGGACAAACATCTGGTGAGAATAGAAGACGAGCACGTCACCGTAAAATAATTAGGCTAAATGAAAGTGCTGATTTCTAGCTGTTCAATGGCATGTCAACACGTGCCAATTTCTTATTTATTTATTTATTTATATATTTTTGGGATAATGAAAAACTCAGATCAATTTGTGCACATCTCGACTAATTCTAATCTACAAACTCTGAAGTTACGTACATGATAAATCTCTAATAGCCTTTTGAGATAACTCGAATTAGAAATCTTGAATCTTACCTTAAGTTTATTGCTCGATCAGTCCTTAAGATTTCAACAGATGCCTGTTAGTAGAAATATGAATCTTTATTCTAGTAAATAAATAAATTATTAGAGATCTCAAAAAAATTATTAAATTTTTTTATATAATTCTCACATGGATATATAGGACTCACACACCAGGTAAGTATTGTGTAAAAATTTTAATAATTTTTTGAAGATTCCTAAAATTTTTGAAAAATTATTTTTCTATTTACACATAAATGAATCACTAATCAAACTTTCTCACATTTGTGTGAGACTTTCAAAAGATAAAACTCGGAAAAAGTTGTGTCCATATTTTATGATCAGTTTGTGTGTTCCTCAAATATTTTTCATTGAAAAATAAGGAGTGAAGTTTTTTGGGTGGGTAATAAGGAGTGAAGTTGTTCCAACCTAACTCATACATTCTATAATTTTTATAAAAAAAAAGAAAAAAAATTATTCTAATATTCTTTGAAATTTGAATTAAAAAAATGCAATAATTCCTACATTTTTAGTATAATTACAATAATTTTCTTTTTAGTATGGCTAAAAAGAGTAGAATTAATAGATAGAAATGATGCAAAGCTACAAAAATAAATAACATAAAATATGCGCTTTAATGTTACAGAGATAACATTATTTTTCATATATATGACTGACTAATTACTGTTGAAAAAATGTGATAAATATTATTTGAATTAAAATATTAAAAGAACTCAAATGTAATTATGCCAAATTTATAGGGCTTATTGTATTTTTTTTTATAAATATTAGGAGAGGTCAATATAATTTACCCTTTAAAAATTTATTGAAACCAGTTTGTAGGTAAATATTTTAAATTTGAATACATTTGTTATTACTGGTGTTATTATTATTATTAAAAAAAATTCAAGCTCAGTTTGATAATTTTTTGTTTAATAGGGCATGAATAATTTGTTTCAATAATTCCTTGACTTTAAAATTGTAATAAATATTTCAATCATTGTTATGTCCAGACTTATAATAAATAGTTAATTACCTAAAAGTCCTATTTACAAATGTTATGGTAGTTCAAATCTTATTTAAAATTTTTTGAACCAATAAGTCATATTTAGTAAAACTGAGAATATTATTAGTTTTTTCCAATTTTAAAAACTAAGAACATTATTAATTTTGCATAGTAATGTTCTAGATAATTGTTTGACTAACTGATGAAAAACAACAAAATATGAGACAGAGTATGAGATTAAACATTTTTTTCCTTCTACTTATTGATTTGATTAAACTATCTAATAAAACCGAGAACATTAGCAGTTTTTTTTCCCAATTTAAAATTGAAAACATTATTGGTTTTTTCATTTTTAAAATTATTTATTTATTTTTTTTTTTTTTCAATTTTGCACATTAATGTCCCATCATCATACTCCTTTATAGACACAAAATTTTCAGTTTTGCACAAAAAATAATTTCGGTTTTTTCAATTTTTCAAAAATTGCACATAATTTTTTTTAGATTTTTCAATTTGAAAGTTGATATTTTAAAATTTTGAAAATCAAAATAAATGTTAAATCATCATGTTCTTCTATAAATAATCATAAATGATGAACCATCATTGTTTAAAGGACAATTCTAACTATAAAAAATTTAATGGGACTTAAAGGTTTAAAAAAAATTTATAAAGTCAAGGACACAGCCTCGAAGCATATCCTCCAAGATCTGAATAGTACGCTTGGACTGCCCGTCAATCTGAGGATGGTAAGCCGTGCTAAAGGTCAATCTAGTGCCTAAGGCACTCTGCAAACTCTGCTACAACTTAGCAGTAAAGTGCGGATCTCTATCAGAGACGATCGTCACTAGGGCCCCGTGCAACCTCACTATGTCCCAAACATACAAGTCGGCGAGATGATCTACCGGATCTCTCATGCGCATAGGGATAAAGTGTGCCGACTTAGTCAACCGGTCTACAACCACCCAAATAGCATCACTACCCCGCTGAGTCCTCGGAAGACTTACAACGAAGTCCATAGTGACATGCTCCCACTTCCACTCGACAATAGGCAAGGGTTGCAACAAACCCGCTGGCCTCTGATGTTTGGCCTTCACTTGCTGACAAGTAAGGCACTTAGAAACAAAAACAACCACACCTTTCTTCATACCCCGCCACTAAAACTGGCGACCCAAATCACGATACATTTTAGTGCATCCCGGATGCACAGCAAGGTGTGAATGATGAAACTCTCGGAGTACCTCCTCTCGGCAAGACTCCGGCACAAACAAGCGGTCTCGGTATCTCATACTCAGGTCAGGATACACAGTCAAACCCTTCTCAACCTTCCCACTGGAGATCTTCTCTCGGAGGGATTCTACCTCAAGATCACCTCTTTGCACCTCTAACACTCGACTCACAAGTGTAGGCTGTGCAACAACGGAAAACAAGACTGCAGCCTCAACAGATTCACCCAGAAGCAAATCAAACTCGCCAAGTGTACCCAACATTTCCCACTCCCGGGTGGCTATACAAGCTACATCGCTAATGGATTTCCTACTAAGGGCATCGGCCACAACATTGGCCTTTTCCCGGGTGATAGTGCAACTCGAAATCGTAATCCTCAATGAACTCCATCCATCTTCTCTACCTCAAATTGAAGTCTTTCTATGTAAACAGATACTTCAAACTCTTATGATCCGAGAACACCTCGAATCTTTCACCATAAAGGTAGTGCCTCCAAATCTTTAAGGCAAAAATCACAACTGCTAACTCTATGTCATGTGTAGAATAATTCCTCTCGTGTGTTTTCAACTACCACGAGCCATAGGCTACTACTTTCCCCTCTTGCATCAGTACACAACCCAAACCCTCTCGTGAAACATCACAATAAACCGCATAGCCCAAACCTCTCTTCGGAATAATCAAAACAGGAGCGGTGGTAAGTCTAACTTTAAGTTCCTAGAACGACTTTTCGCAAGTCTCACTCCACACAAACTTGACTCCTTTCCACATCAATCTAGTCAATGGTGAAGCTAGCTTGGAGAAATCTTTCACAAACCGGCGGTAATACCCAGCTAATCCCAGAAAACTGCGGATCTCAAAATCACTCTTAGGCTGTGTCCAATCCTGCACTGCCTCAATCTTGGATGTATCAACGGACACCCCTTCCCCGGAGACTACATGGCCTAAGAATTTAACCTCTCTTAGCCAGAACTCAGACTTCCCAAATTTGGCATACAGCTTATGGGTCCTAAGCAACTGAAGTACCATTCTCAAGTGTTCCTCGTGCTCCTCCTCAGAAGGTGAATAAATTAGAATGTCGTCCATGAAAACGACTACAAAACGATCTAAGAATTCCCAAAATATCCAGTTTATCAAATCCATAAACACTGCCGGTGCATTGGTGAGCCCATCATTAAAAACTCATAGTGGCCATACCGCGTACGGAATGCCTTCTTCGGGATACCTTCCTCCCTGACCCTCAACTGGTGGTAACCCGATCTCAAGTCTATCTTAGAGAAACAACAGGACCCCTTCAACTGGTCAAACAGATCATCTATACGAGGCATAGGGTATTTATTCTTAACCGTAGCCCGATTCAATTTCCGGTAATCAATGCAAAGTCTCAAAGCCCCATCTTTCTTCTTAGCAAAGAGGAACGGTGCTCCCCACGGCGAAGTACTAGGGTGAACGAAGCCCTTATCTAGCAACTCTTGGAGTTGAATCTTCAACTCACTCAACTCGGCTGGAGCAAAATGATAAGGTGCCAGGGAAATCGGAGCCGTGCCGGGCACTAAATCAATGGAAAACTCCACCTCTCGATGTGGTGGCAAACTAACAAGATCCTCGGAAAAGACGTCTGAGTACTCACAAACCACTATCGGCAATACAGTCTGGGTCTCATCACACTCACTACTCATACAGCTAACGAGAAGACAACTAAGCTCACTCCGTCCTCGCGGATCATACACCGATGGCAACACACTACCAACCCGATCCCCCAAGAAATGGAAACAATTCCCGCTCAAGGTACATACAGTGACCCTCTGGCAGTAACAATGAATAACAGCCCGGTATGACGATAGCCAGTCCATACCCAAAATCACATCAAAACCCGACATAGCCATTACAACAAAAGAAAATGAAAGCCGGCGGTCGGCGACCTCTATATCACAGCCCCGACACCCTTGTTTCAAAATTAACTCACCCCCAACAGGTGATACAACACAAATAGGAGATACTAACTGTGCCAACTCCAACCCCAAAATAGATGCAAATGCAGCAGATATAAAGGAATGAAATGCACCCGTATCAATTAACACATTAGCAACTGAGTTGCAAAACAAAAAGGTACCTCTCACAACAGATGGAGCCAGTACAAGATCCTGCACAGCATACACACGTCCTATAGGCCCCTGATCCACCTGCTCACCTCTCAGAGCAAAGACTGCTGCACTGACTGGGATGACGAGGCTCCCGGATTGGCCCTCGAGGCCTGCACAGACTGAGTTGGCTGAAATCCCTACGTGACTGTGCTGGCTGAAAACTCTGCGTCTGCCTCGAATTAGACGCACCAGATGTGCCACTCAACTGCGGACAATACCTCTTCAGGTG